GACGCTGCCGCCGGCGCAGCCGCTGGCGTCGCCGCACCGAAGAGCCCGCCCGCGGCCGGGGCCGCGCCGGGCGTAGCTGGCGTCGCGGCAAACGGGTTGCTCCCGGGTGCTGCGGCGCCGAAGGGTGTGGAGGTGGCCGCTGGAGCTGCCCCAAAGAGCCCGCCCGGCGTCGCGCCGGGCGTAGCTGGCGTCGCGGCGAACGGGTTGGCCGGCGCTGCGGCCGCGCCGAACATCGTGCACACCGGCACACCGCTAACAGCAACGCGGGCTTCTCTGCCTCGAGGTGGAAAAGAATTTAAACAAAAGAACTCTCTCTCACAGCAGACAGGCTCGACACAGGTGCGAACTGGCGCGTGCTAGTACTATCACCGGCACACCACCGGAGCCGTGAAAAAGAATTCTGTGCATACTTAGCAGCAGTTATGGCGGCGTGCCCCTCCCATCCCTCCCTTGGTTTGCGTGTTTTCTTTCTTTTTTACGAGCTCCGTGCACCAACACTGGGCAGGGTTTTTGGCGCGCACTGGCACTAACACAGGTACACCACGGGAGCCGCCTAAGCGACTCCTGCGGAACGGCGAGGCACTTTAGCTCCGTGCACTCAACCGCCTCGCCGCAGGCAAGCTCATTCACAATCCGCTCTGGGCCATGCGTCCCGGCTCAGTCGGACAGATTGGCTGAAGTTTTGAGCCCACCCCCAGCCCACCGCTTGAACCTTAGTCCCCGACCCCACATCGACGCGAGGCCGAGGGCCCCACCTCGGCCATCCCAGGGAGAGCGGAGAGGGAGGGTTGCCCCCACACCTACGCTTTATCCGGGCGCATGATTTAGTCGTACTCTACGGGGTGTGGACCCTGAGTTGACCAGGGGTTGTGCGCCGGGCCCTCCTGCTCGGCTCCAGCCAGTAGACAAGTCTTGTCACTAAGAGAGTAGAAGGATCTGACCTCGGGGCCGATGTGACCAAGCGCTGGTAGCGTGGTTTACCTTGACACCCATGGTCTCACAGTGTGCCGGCAGTCACCGAGCAGTGTCGCTCACACAAGCCGCAGCACAAGTGACTGAGGGCCAGTGAGGGCGAGCCCATCGCTGTCACAGCTGTGGCAGTCGCACAATAGGCTGTGCCGTCTGTGCAGAGCGTGTGAGCAGCAGAGGAGCTGCTCTCCAAGCTTCAGGCGCAAAGAGCTGCATGCCACCGAAAGCGCTGTCGAGGTTCGCCGAGCGCGGCGCAGGTTGGAGGAAGCCGTCACCGACGAGCGCGTTGGACTTTTCACTCCGGACAAAGACGGGGACACAGCGGACGGTGCGGGGTGTGTCCCCGTCTTAGCGGCGAGGCGCGGGGCCGTCTGTGGCGAAGTGGGTCGCGTCCTCCAATTTCCTCAACTCACGGTCCGCTCCCTCTACTCACGAAGACGAGCGTGGGCGGCGCACGTGCGGCGTATACGCTAATGCGGGGCAACGGGCCGCGTCCCATGGAGGTGCACAATGCCCCTTCAATGGGGGCGTCTTCGCTCATTTTTACCTTAATTAATAAACACGAGAGGTGTCAACTAGAGCTGAGAACACTCTACTCTCGAACAGTCCAGGGTCTGCAGAGTGCAGTCAGGTCTCTTATTGCGGAGAGTGTCCGGTCATCTTTGATTTGTGATTTGAAGATCTGCTCGGCTCGCGTTTGGCGCCGCCCGCACTCATCTGCTGAAGGGTAATATACGCAATGGACAAACCCTACACTCTTGGCGCTCTAGATACACGTCGTGCTCTGTCAGCTGGCCGGCGCTGCAGAGAATTCAAGCGCACGTGCAGGTAGGAGCGCGTGCAGCTGGCGGAAGCGACCAACCTGTGCCACACGAGAGAGCCACACGTGAGAGGTTGTGGTTGGGACGTAGCCTCCCCTCCCTCAGGTCTGCCCAGCGCACCTCAGCGCCCGACTCGACTAAGCAAGTGACGAGCCCCTCCTTTCCTCGGCGCGCCGTGCGACCCGCGGAGTGCACAAAACCAGCGACGTCCTTGGGCATATCGAAGAGCAAGACATGCCGCAACCGCGGGAAGTCGAGTCCTCGTGCCGCCGCCGCAGTGCACACGAGTGCCCGCGCCTCACCAGAGGCGAAGCGAGCCACGGCCTCCGCGCTTCCCTCGGGGGCCGCCGCCCCCTCACACAACAGCGCGGCGCGGAGCTGCGGCATCTCCGCCACGAGGCGCCCCTATCGCGCAATCCTGTCACGCTCGCATCTCCACGGCAGGTGGCGCCTCCCTCAGGGTGCGCGCGCGTGGACAGCGGCGGCGGCGGCCGGCTCGCAGAAGATCATCGTGGTCCCTAAGAGAGGAGGCGTAGCCTCGTGGGGCTTGCGGGCTCGGAGGCTTGAGGCGAGGGGGTGGCGTCGCCGCCCTCGCGGAGCCACGGGTCGTCCTCCGCGCTGCGCAGCGCCGAGAGGAGGGCCGTCTAGAGACGCGGCACAGTAGCGTCACAAAGGCGAGGCGGCGTGGCGGCCAGAAGGAGGCCAAGGCAGAAGGAGGGCCACCTCGCGACTCGCGCCTGCGGCTCGCGCCTCCCGCAGTCAGTCAGAGGGGCAGGGTGGGCGGGGAGAGGGAGGAGGAGCGACGGCGCCGGGCCCCAGGTAGCGGAAGAGCTGGCGCAAGGTGGGGACCATCACCCCTCGCTGGCCGGCGGTGGAGTGCTCGCTGACGCGCACGGCGCGGCGGAAGCGGCGCGTGAGCGCGACCTCGTGCTCCGAGGTGAGGAAGGCCGTGGCGAGGAGGTGCTGTGTGCCGGCGGGGAGAGCGTCGAGGAGGGCGTCGGCGTCCGGCCGCAGGGCAGTGTCGTGCGGCCGTCCGCACAGGACGGCGTCCGCCTGTGGCGAGGGTTCGACGTCGGTCGCGAGGAGTGAAGGGCATCGGTTTCTGCCCCATCTCTGCCCATCTCTCGTGCGCCTCGTCGATGGCAACCGCTGCTAGCCGCGCCGCCCACTCACGCCCAGCGCCACCCGACGCTTCGAGGCGACGGCGCGCCCCAGCAGCTGTCGCGACCAGGAGCGAAGGGACGCGCGACGCATCC